CCTATACTCAGCACTAGCTCCACCTCTCCAAACAGCAGCCCTTTTACCACTGGCTAGTCCAGTATTGGGCCTGGCCATCTATTCATTGACAACTTGGGGCCTCCCTGAATGGTAAGGATATGCAACCTATGGAGGAGTTTATAGATCTTTGCACCCATGCAATCATTTGACAAGATGGCTGGGGGAGTTTTGCCACCTCGCTAGAAATAATTTATATATTTCTCTTTAGTTGGTGGGAAGAATTGTGACTTGAAAAGGACTAATGGCAAGTGCAATACCCCTGCAGGACACAGGAAGTCAAGGTTTTCCTTATGTAGTTTGTGGAAACACTCCATAAGCTACATTTCTCCTCATAGTTTCTTTACCCAGGTAACTAAGAGGAAAAGATATTGATTTAATCTCACTCATCAATTCTAAGGAATGCACATTTTGCCAAGTGATCCAAATAGCTCTACCACCATACACAGCAATCCCTTTTCTAAGAACAGTGAGCATTTGGAAAAAACAAATTTTTTTTTTTTTTTTGAGACAGAGTCTCACACTGTCACCCGGACTGGAATGCATGGCACAATCTCGGCTCACCACAGCCTCTGTCTCTAGGATTCAAGCAATTCTCCTGCCTCAGCCTCCCAAGTAGCTGGGATTATAGGCGCCTGCCACCACACCCACCTAATTTTCTTATTTTAGTGGAAACAGGGTTTCACACCATGTTGGCCAGGCTGGTCTCAAACTCCTGACCTTGTGACCCACCATCTTGACCTCTCAAAGTGCTTGGATTACAGGTGTGAGCCACCTCGCCTGGCCAATAATTTATTTCTTAAACTCAGTCTTAAAAAAAAAATGATGCAATAACCCAGGATACTAAGATCTGCAAAATATTCTAGCTGAGAAACAAAGCATGGCCCTCTCGGGTTGTGTCTGGGGAAGCCATTTCATGGTGCGGGGTTCAGGGTCTATGAAGACTGATCAAATCATGAACAAGCCAGGCATGTTCTTTCTGATCAGAACATGGCCAGAGTCCAATACCTTCTTTCTAAAGAACATAGCTGGAGTCCAATGTCTTCACCAACTTACATTTTGATATATGGACATTAAAGCCAAATCTCTCCAATGGCCATACACATGCAGATCTTCAGTAAGGACAAGAGATGCCTGGAAATCTACAACCTATACTTCCTTTATCACAGTGATTTTGTGTATTAGGCACCTACTGGACAGCAACCTACACACATCAGTATCCAGCACTTGCTGAAGGTTATTTGTTATCTGGTAACTAGCAGACTTATTTAGTGATATTTGCTCTAAGTTACAAAAATTAAGATTAATTGCTGTCTTCCTTTTCCATATGGCGAATATCAAATAGTTTTAAGCATGTCAGTCTTCACTATAGAAAGCTTGTTTTGTTCCTACCTCGGCAGCTTGGGTTTCTTGATGCAGCAATGTAAGACCAGTCAAGTCTTCCAAGAAGGAATGTGAAGAATTAAACACCTTGGCTAGGAAGTTAAATCCTTCTCGTTCATATTGATCAAGAACCTGTAAAACATTTACATTTTTTAAAAAGGAGGCTCCAGACTTAAAATGCAAATTAAAAGACTTTCACTTCTAACAAGCTCTTGTCAAAAATAAAATTAAAATGAGAATTAAATATGGGGATAAAATGCAATCTAGTGGCCAAAAAACTAAAAGCGGCTTAGTATTTATCATCTTTTCCCTTCTTAGAATGACAATAACATTATCTTTCAGTTTGCATATCAATGTTTTCTCAATAAAGTAAGTTTCATGCAAATTCACTAAAAATTCTAGAAGAGTTAGGATTAGTTAGTGGCCCTAAAGTTCGCTGGTTAGAAAACAGGTGAAAGAAAAGCCAAGAAAATAAATTTAAAAGGATAAATGGGAAGGGAGGGGCAAAAGGATTTTCTCAAAAAAATGTGACATACCAGCTAGCCGAATATATTTTTTTAAAATAATTTTAAAACGGAAAAATAAATTTCAATAGGTACTTCACAAAAGAGGATATCCAAAGAGCCAATAAACATGAAAATGGGCTCCAATAGCATGAGTATTTAGAGATATGAACACTGAAACCACAATGAAACACTACTTTGCACCTATCAAAAAGATTAAAATGACAAAGAAAATACCAAGTGCTGGCAAGGATGTGGAACAACCAGGACTCTATGTCCTATGATGCAGCAATTCTACTCTATGTGTATACACACCCAACAAAAATGTGTACATATGTGCACCAGAAGACACAAACAAAAGTGTCCATAGCAGCGCTATTCATGATAGCCCAAAACTAGAAACCACTGAGGTGACCATCAACAGTAGAATGAACAGATAGATTGTGGTATAGTCATGCAATAGAATACTATATATCAGTGAGAACAAACTACCTTCAAACATAATGTTACACGAAAGGAAGGAGTAGCAGTATGTACTGTATAATTACATTGATATAAAATTAAAATGAAATAGGCAATATGAATGTGTGGTGTTAGAAGAAAAGATAGTGGCTACCCCCAGAGAGACTGTAAGGGCACAAGGGACATTCCAAGGTGCTGGTAATAACTTGTTTATTTATCTAAGCGTTGGTTACATAAGGTGTATTTTTTGAGAATTCATTAAGTTGAACACAAGATTTGTGTGTTTTTTTTTTTGGATATATGTTATCCTTCAATAAAAAGTTAAAAAATAAAAGGCCTGTACACTTGAGAGGAGAACAGTATGAGAACAGTAAAGAGTTCTTAGAAACAAACAATGAGTATCACATTTAGGAATTCAGTGATCACAGGGACTGTGAAATGTAGAACGCTGAACCAGAATGCCTCAGAAATTCTCTCAGAACTCACAAGAAATAAAGAGATGAATGCTTTAAAAAGATAGCAGACATTGAAGACATACCTAAGAAATCAACAATGCATAAACAGACTGGAACAGTAATAATACAAGAAATAGAATTTCTCTTTTTAGAAGATGAAAATGTAGGCACCCTTTAATCCAGCAATTCCACTTTTAAGACTTCATACTGATAAAGTTGTACATGGGCACAAAGACTTCCATTGTAAGGAAGCTTACTGAAACACTGTTTGGGCCAGGCACGATGGCTCACACATCTGTAATCCTAGCACTTTGGGTGCCCAAGGCAGGAGGACTGCTTGAGCTTAGGAGTTCAGGACCAACCTGGGCAACATAGTGAGACCTCAACTCCACAAAAAATTTAAAAACTAGCCAGGCATGGTGGAGTGAACCTGCAATCCCAGCCACTTGGGAAGCTAAAGTGGAAGGATCACCTGAACCCAGGAGGTTGAGGCTGAAATGAGTTATGATCACGCCACTGCACTCCAGCCTGGGTGACAGAGTCTCAAAAAAAAAATAATAATAATAATACATATTTTGTATCTATTAAAGGAACGAGGCAGGTCTTACAATACTGACACAAATTGTTTTCCAAAACATAGCAATATATTTAAAAAGCAATATCTAGACTGTGTATAGATAGTATTTGTGTTCAAAAAGAGTGGAAGGAGGAGACAGGAAGAGGAAGAAATGCATGGATGTACATACTTGTTTATGCATGTATCATCTATGGAAGAATGCATATACACACAAACTGGCATCAAATAGTAGCCTCTGTAGATTATTTTATACTACTTTAATTTTTAAATCCATGTGCATGTGTTACTTAATATTAAATATTACTCAATATTTATTAAGATTTTTAAAAAATACTTATTAAAAATTAATATTTATTAAAATTTGCCACCAATAATAAATACACCATAATTTAATCAGCTCTCTGTTAAAGGGTAGTGCTTTCTAACTTTTGTTGCTGCAAACAGTTCTGTGGGTTTTTTTTTGTTTTTGGTGACAGTCTCGCTCTGTCACCTAGGCTCGAGTGCAGTGGCACAATCATAGCTTACTGCAGTCTCAACCTCCTGGGTTCAAGTGATCCTCCCACCTGATCACCTTTATTTAATGTTAATAAAAAATATTTATTAACATTAAATATTTAATACTTCTTAAAACCAAATGTTATTTAACATTTATAAAAATTAAACAATTTTACATATTAATATAAAAATATTAAAATCTTAATTTAGTTGGTTTGTGTTTTTGTTTAGTGCTGAAGCAGAACTCTAAAGCACTGATGAAGAGGTTGGCACTGGAAAGGAGGGGCAGCTCTCCCCCAGGGGCAGGAATGAGGAGGGAAGGATGAGCAAAGCTGCAGCAGTGAAAAGTGAAGGGACCAGGGGACAGGGGGCAGGGGGCAGGGGAGCTCCAGGGTTAGATAGCAGGCAGGAAGTCCTGTGTGACCCGAGAAGGGTTAGACTACGGGGCTTGAGAAGAGTGGCGACCCTGAGGCCCAGCTGTGCAGAGAGTGGAAGAAGAGATGCTGACTGGCACATCTCACCAGTGTAGAACAATCTGATGCCTCTGGTCAGGACAGAAAGTAAAAATTTGGGGAGAAAAGAAATTAAGAACCCATCTAAGCTAAGGGACTGGCAGAATAAGGATCAAAAGGTTAAAGTCAGAGAAACTGAGGGTCTGGTGAACACCACTGAAGAGACTGGGAAAGAGTCCTGGCTGGTAAGAAAAGACCTGCAGGCAGCCAGGTGCAGTGTGGCTCACGTATGTAATCCCAGCACTTTGGGAGGCTGAGGTGGGCAGATCTCGAAGTCTGGAGATCGAGATCATCCTGGCTGATACGTGAAACCCCGTCTCTACAAAATATACAAAAAATTAGCCGGGCGTGGTGGCGAGCGCCTGTAGTCCCAGCTACTCAGGAGGCTGAGGCAGGAGAATGGTGTGAACCCAGGAGGCAGAGGTTGCAGTGAGCCAAGACTGCGCTACTGCCCTCCAGCCTGGGCGACAGAGCAAGACTCCGTCTCAAAAAAAAAAAAAGAAAACAAAGAAAAGACCTGTAGGCTGGTGGGATCAGAGAGACTGCAAGTCCTGGAGAGCTGGGGGAGTGGAGGACCATTATGTGCGTACAGTCAAGCCCAGGCTGATTAGCCATGGGAAATTAATTTGACAACCTAACACCTGAAAAAAAAAATGTCATTTAATAAATAACTCAATCCCTCAGTAATAAAAAGATTCCTTATAAACCAGAATATTACGTCAGGAAAAATGTGCACTGAAATTAAATGATCTTTTTTGAAATGGTAAGTACTACATATTTAGTGATTTTAAAAAAAAAATTGAAAGTTGTGGCAACCCCACGTTGAGCAAAGTAATCAATACCATTTTTCCAACAGCATGTGCTCTCTTCGCGTCTCTCTGTCACATTTTGGTAATTCTCACAATATTTCAAACTTTTTCATTATTATTATATCTGTTGTGGTGATCTGTGATCAGTGACCTCTGGTGTTACTATTGTAACTGTTTTGGGGCACCACAAACTGTACCTATATAAGATGGTGACCTTAGTCGATAAATGTTGTATGTGTTCTGACCAATTCACCAACTGGTCATTCCTCCATCTCTCTCCCTCTCCTCTGGCCTATTTCCTGAGACAAAACAATGCTGAAAGCAGGCCAATTACAATGGCCTCAAAGTGTCCAAGTGAAAGGAAGAGTCACACATTTCTCACTTTAAATCAAGAGCTAGAAATGGGCCAGGCACGGTGGCTCATGCCTATTTGTAATCCCAGCACTTTGGAAGGCCGAGGTGGGTGGATCACTTGAGGTCAGAAGTTCAAGACCAGCCTGGCCAACATGGTGAAAACCCCGACTCTACTAAAAATACAAAAATTAGCTGGGCGTTTTGGTGCACGCCTGCAATCCCAGCTACTTGGGAGGCTGAGGCAAGAGAATCACTTAAACCCGCGAGGCAGAGGTTGCAGTGAGCTGAGATTGCGCCACTGTACTCCAACCTGGGCAACGGAGTGAGACTCTGTCTCCAAAAAAAAAAAAAAGCTAGGAATGATTAAGCATAGTGAGGAATGCATGTCAAAAGCTGAGACATACTAAAAACAACAAAAAAAAGCTACACCTCTTGCACCAAACAGCCAAGTTGTTAATGCACAGAAAAAGTTCTAGAAGGAAATTAGAAGTGCTACTCCAATGAACACACAAAAATAAGAAAGTGAAAGAGCTACAGAGAAAGTTTTAGTGGTCTAGAAGATCAAACCAGCCACAATATCCCCTTAAGCCAAAGCCTAATCCAGAGTAAAACTCAAAGTCTCTTTACTTCTATGAAGGCTGAGAGAGGTAAGGAGGCTACAGAAGCATAGCTGGAAGCTAGCAGAGGTTGGCTAATGAGGTTTAAGGAAAGAAGGTGTCTCCATAACATAAAAGTGAGAGGTGAAGCGGTAAGTACTGATGTAGAAGCTGCAACACGTTATTATGAGATCTAGCTCAGAAAACAGATGTGGCTGATCAACAGATTTTTAACATAGATAAGACCACCTTCTAGTGGAAGAAGATGCCATCTGGGACTTTCGTAACTACAGAAGAGAAGTCAATGCCTGGCTTTAAAGCTTCAAAAAATAGGCTGACTCTCTTGGTCAAGGCCAAAGCAGCTGGTGG